TAATTGAGAATGGATTGTTAAAGCGCACATGGGAAAGTGCGGATGGCAGCACAGTAACAACTCAGTTACTGGTACCAAGGAAGAAAGTTACCCAGGTATTGGAAGAAATTCACGGTGGTAAAACTGGAGCCCATCTTGGGGTAAACAAGACCTTGAGCAAGCTGAGAGATCGCTTTTACTGGGTGGATTATTGCGAAGATGTCAAGAAATGGTGTCGACAATGTAAAATTTGTGCAGCCAGCCAAGGACCAAGCACTCGATCTAGGGGAAAAATGAAACAATATAACGTTGGACTGCCATTCAGAAAGAATCGCTGTTGACATTGCAGGCCCATTCCCTGAAACGCACAAGGGGCAACAAGTACGTTTTAGTGGCGATGGATTATTTCAGTAAATGGCCAGAAGTTTTTGCCATTCCAAACCAAGAAGCATCGACTGTAGCTGAAGTATTAGTCAATAATGTCTTCAGTAGATTTGGAATTCCTTTAGAGCTTCACACTGACCAAGGAAGGAACTTCGAGTCAAGACTGTTCCAGAAGATGTGTGATCTGCTTGGTATTCACAAGACTAGGACAACAGCTTTACATCCGCAGTCTGATGGGATGGTCGAGAGATTCAATAAGACCATTGAAGAACATCTCTCGAAAATGGTGGATGAACATCAAAGAGATTGGGATCAGCATATACCACTATTCCTAATGGCATATAGAAGTGCAGTTCACAACACCACCGGACTTTCACCATCGAAGATTTTATTTGGTCGAGAATTACGGTTGCCTTGTGACTTGGTGTTCGGATCACCAGACGACAGCACCACGAACGTAGAGGACTACGCGGATGAACTGAAGGAAAGGTTATTGGAAATTCATAAGGCCGTGAGAAGTAAGATTACGCTAGCCAGTGACCGGATGAAAGCTCGTTACGACCTCAGAGCTAATTCTACGGGATTTCAACAGGACGATATGGTATGGTTATATAACCCACAGCGCAAGAAAGGGAGGTCCCCAAAGTTAACCCCAGCATGGGAAGGTCCTTATACAGTCATCAAGAGGATAAATGATGTTGTGTACCGGATTCAACGCAGCCCTAGAAGTAAGATGAAAGTAGTTCATCTGGATCGATTGAAGAGATATCAGACAGGAAACCTTGATCGGGACGATCAAATTTGAGAAGGGGGCAATGTTAAGGTAAATGTGTATTACTGGTTGCATAACCGCAACGGTGCATTGAGGAACCTGGCACATTCGCCAGAAAGTAAAGAAAATTATAGAATTCTTTAGAAAAATCTAGAAACAACCGCCAGGGGGTATATAAGGCCCGCGCTTTGACAGTTGGACAAGTTTAAAGTTTGAAGTCTAAAGTTTGAAAATACCGCGAAATACCGTTAGAGTAATAGTAGTTGCATAAGTTGTGTTGTAAATAGTATAAGTTGTGTGTACAGAGTGAAACAAATAAATTCGTTAAGTATTTTATCGTGAGTTTAAATAGTGGACCCACGGAATCCGTAACAATATATTGAAATTTTATAATTCGTTTTATTTAAAAAATGTTAGAAAACAAGCTTGTAATCCTGTAATTGACATAATTGTAATGTAATATATACTATTTAAATGTAATATATTCCATTTAAATGTAATATATTCCATTTAAATGTAATATATTACTTTACAATTAACAAAATGTAAATCTAAAAAATATATTAAAAATATATACAGGCATTAATTGAATTTTTTAGCGTGCGAACAAACACGAGAGGCGCTTTATTATTTACTTTCATTTCTTAACATGACAGACGAAGTTCTAAAGGGGGATGTTTTGTGCCTTGCGGTTAAAGTACTATTTTATCTACTATTTTTGATAGATATAAGGCAATTTTAACAGTTGCTATGGAAAAAAAGGAAAATAACTTTATTGTGTCAGTAAAATGTTAAGTGCAGTTACATATTACATCCCCTTGTATTGACGCCACGCTACTGTTTTTCTTCTTCAGTCTTGACAGCTGTTCATAAGAAGACCAGAAAGTATCAGGAAAATATCTTTTTGTTTGGGAACAGAAAAAATATTTCAAATTTCATTTCTGCGCCTAGTGTGTGTCATTTGAATTCAATTGCCCGGTATATATGTACTTATTTGAAGTCTGCATCCCTAATGAAAACAAAATTATGTAACTTTGCGAAAAAATATTCCGAATTGTTTTCCAGTTTATTGACTTTATGCCAATTTCATGAAAAAAATATTTATTTCTGGTAGTTTCAACCACACATCTCTACTAAAATTAATATTATTTTTCCTAAATGTTGCTAAAAATATACCCGCAAAGTTTTTACGTCTTTTATCGGTTCTAGATAAACAAAAACATCACAACTAATTGCCAGAAAGCGTGCGTGTGTCAAACAGATAATCTATCTCGCAAAGCGGTTAAAATTTTAATTTCTATTTGATTTGGAATCAAGTGTCTTATTTAATTTAATTTTAGAATTGTTTACTTCTCCGGACCCCTATAAAAGTATTAACATTTTTCAGAATTTGATTAATAATAGTACCCTACAAATTTTTATCGAAAGATAAGGTACTTAAGTTCTTAAAGAGGCGTTTAGACTCTCAAGTAATATCTTCAAGAACTTACAACCGAGAAAAATCAAATATTTTCATTAGTAAGTAATCAATCTTCGGATTGTCACGGGGTTTCAGAGTTTTTTAAATTTGTACACAAAAAATTACGAGATTTAATTCTAATCATACCAGTGTCTATTACTAACAATTCTAGAAACAAACCATATTAATTATTTTTACGCATACCACATTTTTATATTTCTTTTTAACTATGCTTAGAAAATAACTCTTCACATTGCCATATTACGAAATAGTTTCAATAAAAAAAACATTCTTTTAAATATTTTGCTTGTACCTACTTCCCCTTTCAATGAGAACTAAACTGGGTAAAAATTATTCTTATGAGATTTACGAAAATCATTGTTATACCGCAAAATAACTTTATTTAGAACTAAATTTAATAAAATAATTCACCATATTATTCATACTGAGATCACATAAAAGAAAATATCGACAAGTTTATCGGAATTCACTATTCGGAACATCGACAAAATCAGACAAATAAACCGTATACGAATGCACAACACAACACAACTCATTCCAGGGATTTCAGATTTCACTAATTATAGCATATATACTTCTTTTGACTACCTGGCAACACCTCGTGAAAAATCCTTAATAGCCGGTTATCGCCAGCGCTTCTCAAAATGTTGCCATTATTTTTTTAAAATTTCAAAATTAAATAACTCGGTTATTTTCAATTGATTTTAAAAATGGTAAAGAGAAAAGATGTTTCTTTTGATCAGACCTACCATCCCTTAAAATATCTGCACTTATTTCTGGGACACCCTGTATAAAGATCAAACTTTTGAACGACTTGGCAACAATGTACAATTATTGGTAGTGCTTAAGATCGGCGGCGCGGCGGTTCTCAACATGTTCACGTGTTTATATAATGATAAACAACACCCTGTATATGGATAAACTATGGGTACAAGCGCAAAAAAAAGACAAATAATGTTCCATTATTTAAACAAATTAAATTTCTGTAAGCTGATTATTGTAATAGGATACCTATTACATTAATCAGCTTTATAACTTTTTTTTATACAGGCTGTCATATATTTGATCTATCTAATCTTAATGAAAAAAAACATGTTAATGACCTTAAACAATTTGATTACGCTGAACACACACAAGCTGTTACATAAAGCACTATAAATAATACATATAAATAAATATTAGTTTGTCAAATATACAGTTTTATTCTTAAAATATCTCAGATTTGCTTCTATAAAGTGATAAGGTATTAAATAATTGCTTAATCATTTGCAAAACAAATAAAACTAAAAATATAAATGTTAAGTTAAAATTACATGAAAAGTTTACAACAAGGTATTCAGGATTATATGTTTAAATCTGACAATACCTATACAAATTATATTGGAGTAATGCAATGTTCAAATTTGAATCAAGTTTTAAGTGACCTCACAAATGAAAAAAATATTCACTATCTCTACTACTTATCACCTTGAAATATAGGTAGATTTATGTATTAGAATTTTATAAAAAAAAGGACAAGATAAGGTCAATAAACAGATTAAATCTGTATGAAATTACTATTTTATTTTGAGGTATTTTTAAACTCCATATATCAGTCTAAGAATATTCAACACCGTACTTACCTACAAAAGCTCCACAAACACCCGAAGCCATACCCAAGGCAGCTTTAGTAAAAAAATTTGGTGGTGTCCCATCTTTGGAGAATTTTTCAAATAACCAAGTGTATATTCCTAATCGTGTAGTTGTATAAGTTGCCTGTCTCATAAGACCAGCCGATAGGCCTGTATATAAAGTAGAAAGCCCCTCATTTCTCACTATGGATTGCAGTAAATGTAAGGAGGTTTTATGTTCTTTAGCTGTTCCTCCCTGTCCACTCAATTGCATACGGTTCTTCAATAAGTCTAGTGGTTGTACAAAACAAGTTGCCAGCATACTAGAAATTAAATTTGCATGATGTATAGGTATTATTGTACAAAAATAATTACCCAGCACTTCCTCCAAACAAAATTTTATAGAATTAGGAATGCGTTTAATTTCCTTAGTGTCGCCCATTTTTTTATAATTAAAAAATATACTATTTAACTAATGAAAAGTTTTAAAAACAAAAGGCAAACAAACGATACCGAATTATCACTGAAAGGTGAGGAAGGTCATTTAAAACATTTCAGAATACACAACTCCACATCAATACGTAGCAAGCACATATTCTTTTTGAAAATTGCATTTTTTCATTAATCTACCATGCAAAATATATTACAGCGTTTAACTAGTTGCATACAAAAATAAACTAGTGTCATTTTGGGTATTTTAAATAGTTAAAAATTTTAATCTATGGACAAGGTAAGTGACAAATCGTGTCAAATGACTGTCAAAGCTGTCAAACAAAATAGGTCAATAGAAATGTCAGATTTAGTTCTTTTGTTATATTTCCTTTTAAAAAATTTTAAAACCCACAAATAAACTTAAATATTAAGTGTATAATCTAACAGAATGTATCAAATTACTTTTGTATGTTTCAGTCACACGCTCTTTCGATTCCATTAAATTAACCTCAAATATCAGAAAATGGCTAGCAATATTCCAGATTTTAACTATTGCTGTGAAATTTGCGGATTAGATGGTCTTAGCGAGGACGAACTTCGAGTTCATACGCATACCGCCCATGTAGAAGGTTGTGGTGTTTGCCCTTTTTGCGAACTGACTGCAGTGAGCCCTGCAGAGCTTATTATCCACGTAAACCAAGCTCATTTAGACTTTTTAACGCCCGAATCTGAACAGAATATAAGCTTTATTGATGATACTAGTCCTAGGTAACGTACATAAGCGTGTTATATTCAGTGTTACTAATAAGAAATTTGTAGTGAATTGAATGGGTTTACTGACGAACAACACTGGAATAATCCAGGAACGTATTCAAATAAAGATAGACCGGAAAGCAAAGTCAGCGTTTCAAACATAAATTTGAGCCCAAAAGTAATGAAAACAAATTTTTACGTTTTCCATTAGATCTTGCTTTCAACGACTAAAAATCTATGACTTACAGGTAAATGGCGGTGGAGAGATAAGTCCTCAAAATTCTAGCCATGGTCAGGGATCTCCATTGCGTTCTAATTTAGCTCTAAAGTTGAAAAGTTCTTCGCAAATTTTACAATGTCCTATGTGTAATTATACAAGTAATAATCCTAATGATTTGGAAGAACATGTTAATAGGTAATGTTTTTGTATAATTTAATAGAATTAAATTTTTGATTGATGATTGATAGCAAGTATTTTGAAAAAGTGTGTTGTTATGTTCAACATTTTATGAGAAATAATTGTCTATATTAGTACTTAATAATTTGTGGTGGTATAGACTAAGTTATTTCAAGAAATACATTATTATCAATAATTTAAATATTAAAGAAATAGCAGATATTAAATAATTTTCATAATAGTATAAAAAATTAAAGTTTACAATGTGACCTAGTGTTGTAAAAAGCTCCATATCAATAGTAAAACTCATTTTAAAAATATTTATAGATATAATGGTGATTCAAATAAATTTTTACACAAAATTTCTTTTTTTTAAATGGAATGCTTGACATAAAATTCTCATATCAAAAATCAAACTTTGATTTTGTTGCTGACGACACTGAGTGATACGTCAAAGAACCAACGATAATAGTTGTACTAAATTTAAAATTGGCAGCTGTCAGATTTTGTACAAATCTCATTGATTCTTTGATTATTTTAGAATAGAGCTCTAAATGTGTTGAAAGTTTTATATTTGGATTACCCTATACATCTATTTAATTTTTGTTTTAAATGTATGCTAGGGTGAATATGCTATATAGTGGTCAGACAGTTTAGAAAGAGTTTAAATTGTTGATTAAATTTTCTTTATTGGTGGCATAATAATGAAATTTTATGAAATAGATAGTGTGGTTATTGGGCTTCATGTTAAATATAACAGTTTTTTTCATAAACCTACCAATTATTTTAATTATTTTTTTAAGTGATAAAAGAGCTGTTTTGTCAGTAGTCGGACAGTGCTTGCCAGTGTCCGGCCGGGAAGTTACCTTAAGACGGACACTTTGTGATTGTCTGATTCTGCACAGTCCTGTATTTAATATATGTATAATTTTAAAGCAAATTTAATCTTGAACATTATACCGGGTACATCTCAAAAGTGGCTCACCCCTATAACTCTTATTTTTTCAGATAGAAAAAACGAGATTTGGTATGTTAGTATATGACATAAATTAATATTGATTGACGTATTCAATTGTTTCTGGTCACTTCCTGTTTCAGCGGAAATTATTACAACTTTTAATTTTTAAATGGCACCCTCAGTATATTTTTACTTTATTGGATAGAAAATGACATTCTGAACAGAATGACATATCATATGTCAACGTTTAACATTTTTTATTAAAAAAAATCGTATTTTAAATTTCAATCTATAGTACCATGGCTCTGTTAAAAACACTAATTTTTGCGTTGGCAAAATAGATTTGATTGTCTAATACTTTTCGTATCTTGTCCTGGTCAGTTTAAAGATGCCCAAATCATATTTTAATCATATCTTAATTTTTTCAAATGGAACCAGGGTGGCTCATTAGTATATTTGGAAAAGGCATTTTTTACGAATAATTTGGTACCACACACTTGGTATTTCGAGTCAAATTGTCATTATGAACCGCGTGTTACAATTTCAAATTAACCATACGCGAAAATGTCAAAAGTTGACATATGATATGTCATTCTACTCAGAGTGTCATTTTCTATTGAATAAAGTAAAAAAATACCGAGGGTGTCATTTAAAAATCAAAACTTGTAGTCATTTTCGGTGAAACAGGAAGTCACCAAAAACAATTGAATACGTCAATCGGTCCTAATTTATGTCATATACTAACATACCAAATATCGTTTTTTTATCTGAAAAAATAAAAAAGATGTGGGGGTGAGCCACTTTTGAGACGCATCCGGTATACGGTTTTTTGTTGTAGTTCTCTATATGAAAAAATCATCTTTATCTTAAAATTATTAATCTGTGTTTTCGCTACTCCCACTCGTTTGTACAGAAAAGAAAATGAAGAAATATTTATGTACAGGGTGGGTCAAATTCGACGCTTTTAAATGGAAACACTCTTTTTCTATAGGAGATAGACGAAAACTAATATCGGTATCTGGAGTTCAATTTTCATCAAAAACATGATGGTGAAAACCGCACATCAATATCTGTTACCGTTTCGGAGTTACGGGGTGTTTTTCAAAAATGTGCATTTTTAACAAATCGCTGTAACTTTTTTGCTATGGAAAATTTTGTATTTCTATGAAAACATTTCCAAAGCACCTTTTTACGTAGAATTTAATGGTTTAAATATAATTTTTTTAAAATTAATAATTTAAGAGTTATCAACAGAAAAACTGATTTTTTATTTGGGACACCCTATATATTTTTAATTAACTGTAAAGAATTTAAAATTGCCTTTCCAAAAATATAGCACACCTGATATTTTGTTATAATCCCCTTCGAAATACAGAATTTTTAAAAGTTCGCCACTTTTAACTAGTAGGCTTTGGATCCCTTATTGCTGTTATGCCCTTAATGGAACTCGAAAACATATTTTTCCAGCATGATGACGCACCGCCTCTGAATGCTGAAGTTATCAGCAAATTTTTGCAGCCAATTTCAAGAATAATTGAATAGCTAATCAAGATTCCAGCCGTTGGCCGTCGAGGCCGCCTGACTTAGTGCCCATGGATCTAATCCTATGGATATATTTGCTGAAGAATAAAGGTTCCTTATTCCGTATAATCTAGACAAGAATTAGAAATACTTAGCAGTTATGAGAGGGTACCTTTCACCCCCACTGAGTTAATGAATTCCGCGAGAAATGTTCAAAAACTGCCCTGTCTGTCCATAACAGAAGACGGTTGATATGTCGAACACCTGTAGCAAAATCTCATGTCTTGGTTTGTTATTTATTTTTATTGTTATTAGATATAGTTTAAATGTGTTGATGTTGGTTAAATATATTTTAAATTGTTATAAAATTCTGCATCTCTCATAAGCCTACTTATTTAAAGCGGGCAAATTTTTATATACTCTATATCTCGAAGAGGAATCGAGCAAAATATCAAGTGTATTATATTTTTGGAAAGGTAATTTTAAATTCTTTTCAATAAACTAAAAATATACAGGGTGTCCCATATAAAAAATCAAATTTTCTGCTGATAATTCTTAAATTATTAATTTTACAAAAATTATACTTAAACCATTAAATTCTACGTAAAAAGGTGCTTTGGAAATGTTTTCATAAAAATACAACATATTCCATAGCAAAAAAGTTACAGCGATTTATTAAAAATGCATATTTTTGAAAAACACCCCGTAACTCCGAAGCGGTAACAGATATCGATATGCGGTTTTCACCATCATGTTTTTGACAAAAATTGAGCTCCAGACACCGATATTAGTTTTTGTCTATCTCCTACAGAAAAGGGTGTTTCCATTTAAAAGCGTCGAATTTGACCCACCCTGTACAAGAGATATTTGTGGAAGCAATAAACATGTTTAACTATTTTTTGGTTATATGTTAGCTTATGTTTTGAGAAAAAATATTTTCTCCTGTGCCTCTTTTTTACCCTCTCGTCCTCTATTTTTTTATTTTGAAAGTTGGCAACCCTAGACTACTAGCATATTCACCCTACTCTTTTACAAAAAAAAGGCTCGAATGAGAAGCACAAGTATAACGTCTAAAATGGAACTTTTTCGGAACTTTGAGTCACCCTGTATACCTATAGTATATAATAAATGTTTGTATAGACGACATTTTGATTTAACATCACCCTCCGTGGGAGCGAGCACCACCTCCGAGGCCTTTTCATGTCCATTGTGCGTTAAGACGTTTGCCTTAGCACCCGACTTGGAACTCCACGTCAATATCGAACATAAAGATGTCCTATCGCCTGCCAGTCCGGCCATTTATGCTTGTCCAGTTTGCGGAATTGCCTTAGATAAAGAAGCTAATGTAAGTAATAACGAAGCGCATAAAGTCTATATGACAGGGTTGCCACCCGTCCCGATTTTGTCGGGACAGTCCCGATTTTGATCCAAACGTCCCGCGTCCCCACGCAAAGCCCTAATGCCCCGATTTTTATTTGTTTAATAGCCACGTTTTTATTAAACAATGCAATTGTTTAATAATAAATTTTTGTAAAATTTATTATTAAAAATCCATGTTTATTAATTTTTTGAATTTAAAAACAGTTCTTTTCCACGAATTAATTAAAATCTTAGAAATTTTAGAATTAAAAGTAGTATACCGGGTGCGTCTCAAAAGTGGCTCACCCCTATGACTTTTTTATTTTTTCAGATAAAACAACGAGATTTGGTATGTTAGTATATGACATAAATCTGGATTGATTGACATACTCAATTGTTTTTGGTCACTTCAACTGACTTACAACTTTGGATTTTTAAATGGCACCCTCGGTATTTTTTTACTTTATTCGATAGAAAATGACACTCTGAGTAGAATGACATATCATATGTACCTAGTGTGTGGTATCAAATTATTCGTAAAAAAATACTTTTTCCAAATATGCTAATGAGCCCCCCTCGTTCCATTTGAAGAAATTGAGATATGAAAAAATACGATTTGGGCATTACTATCTGGGACTTTTAACCGGCCAGGACAAGACATTAATCACATTAGACGATCAAATCTATTTTTCCAAGGCTCCTTGATTAAAAATTAGTGTTTTTAACACAGCCATGGCACCCTAGAATGAAATTTAAAATACAATTTTTTATTAAGCGAGAATGTCAAAAATTGACATATGATATGTTATTCTGTTCAGAATGTCATTTTCTATCGAATAAAGTAAAAAAAAATACCGACGGTGTCATTTAAAAATCAAAAGTTGTAGTCATTTCCGGTGAAACAGGAAGTGACTACAACTGCAAGCAGGATTAGTTGTGTTAGAACAAAATATTAACTAAATAGTCTAATCTTTTTAGGTGGGATCTAATGGTCCAAACTTGGTCGTTTACTCCGGTCACGACTACACCTTACTCCAAATATACACAGCGTTAGGGCTAGCCAACGACCCTCTACTCCTCCAATACACAATTGAATACGTCAATCAATCCTAATTTATGTCATATACTCGCATACCAAATCTCGTTTTTTTATCTGAAAAAATAAAAAAAGTTATAGGGGTGAGCCACTTTTGAGACGCATCCGGTATATTGATACTCTGTTTAATGAATATTCGATAATAAAAACTTGTGTAAAAGAAATTTGCCAAAAAGCATACAAAAATTATAGATAAAAAAATAAAGTATTTTTAAAACTAGAGTAAATTATTTGTCTTTATTGTTTAAGGTTGTTATTTATATATTTTTTCACGTATGATTTTGAAGTAGATGTAGACGCTAGAAATAGATGTTCTGTTAAGCTCATTAGAACGGAACTTCAAATTTCAATTAATTTTAATAGAATTTTTGGATTTTATTAAAAATGGCAAGGCCCTTATTATTACAGCAACAAAACAAATAAAAAATATTCATTACAGTTGAGGGTTAGAACCTTTGGTGTTACAACAGCAAAATAAAACACTAATTCACCGCAATACACCAAAACACTTTGCTTTTAACCATAAATTTGAAGCTAACCATCAGTTTTCATCATCTGCTGATGATGCTAAGCTGGTTAACGAAACGCGCGTCCAGTGTTAAAAGTAAAGTCTTTAATGGAAATTAGCGCATTTGTAGGGGTTAACGCTTTCTTATGCTTGTGTTTACTAAGTATGTTATATTTTAAAGTGTTTTGGTGAATTGTGGCGAATTAGTGGTTTTATTTTGACAAAAAATGTTCATTTAAAAATAATTAAATTAACTAATAAAGCCAATTATACAGATTATACAGCTGAAAGATTTGATTTTGTGGTAATAGTGTGGATCCGGTGGCTGACCTTGAAACGAGTTTTTGTTGTATATAGTCACAGACACTACGCATGCGCACATCTTCGATGTTGCCAGTTTGCAAGTTATTTTGGAATTATTTTCAGTAGAAAACAAATACGTGCTTTTCAGTGTTTTTTTGTCAATATATACCGTATGATCGAAAAAACGGCGTCCAGTTGGCTGGGAAAAGACGATTGAGGACATTTTCCATATAAAATGACAGCGATCTTCATTTCATATATGAAATGATGACTGATGATCTTCATTTCATATATGAAATGAATTTCATAGTCATCGCTGACGCTATTTTTTTTCAATCATAGTACGCGGTATATTTATATTATTATTTTAAAATTTCGCACAACACGTGAACGCTTATTATGTGTTTTCATAGTCAATAAAATTAAATAGAAATAAAACTCTAGATTCCTATAATTAATCTAGTTGCTCTAGATTATTATGCTACGTTTAAAAAGGGCTTTATTAAAAATTCGGGAAATTAAAAGGGATAGTGTCCAAGTTTTTCCTTTTTTTTTAATTTTTAAATGCTGTAGCTCCATGTCATGTTCATAATAGTTTTTTTTAACATTCCATCACAACTACGGAGGCCTTAAAAGGCCTTTTAGCCTCCGTAATTAAAATTGTAGAATCAGCTTCAGCAACATTAACATAGTATTAAGATTAAGACATAACAAATATTATAAGAAAGATCTTAATATAAATCACATACTAACTAAGTCGTAATTTGGTCTATAATAAATATATAAAAGTCTATAAAAAAATAAAAATAATTTGGTCTTGTATAAACACAGGTATAAAACTAATAAGATCAAAACTCAACCTTCACCATATTGTCAAGATTTGGTATTATATGAAACAAAAAATTACAGTAAATTAAGAAAAGAATACCAAAGTACACGATATTAAATACTGTAATGTATTCTACGACACAAACTATCTCCCTTCTAAAGAGAAAAAGATAAAACATAAAGCTTATTTTAGTCTTATCAACACACTCTTCGATAAAATATATGTCTAAAATTGCTATTAATCCACTAACTTGATATTTTTAAGAAATTATGATACAAACATTATAATCAAAGTATATTATATTAGTAACATTATAGGTAAAATGTTACCTCTATCTCCCATTGACGTGTATTGCTCTATAAAACTCGTCAGGGTAGTACATGGGTAGTACTTCAATACATCATTACATATAATCAAAACTATTGTTGCCTGTAAATAACTAGAAATTAAATAACTTGGAAGAAATAAAATAATTCTAAAAAGTTTAAAACCATTAAGAAAAAATCCGTAAATGATAATTTTTAATTCTAATGTAAATATATAAATAAATGTTATTATTATTACAATTTTATATATTCATAATACTTTCATTTCACAATCTTCATTATCTTTCTTACCTTAATTTTGGATATCAAGATAAATCTGAAATTATAAAATTAATTATATAGAATTTGTATTATTATTGATTAACACTCAAAAAAAAAATTCAACTGCAAATACTTCGAAAATAAACTGCAATTTGGCAACATCGACGATGTGCGCTTGCGTAGTATCGATGATCAAATGCAGCAAAAAATATGGGCTTCAAGGTCAGCCACCGGATCCACACCTTTACCGATTTTGTTTAGGTTTTGTTCTAGTTGTTTTAGATTTAATTGATTGTTTACTAATTTTGTTTTCAACTTTTCATTTTTTATTTTTACATAATTATTTATAAACTTCGAATAGTTTTTTTTTAAGTTAACACAAAAAGGCATAAAATATTGTTTCAAAATCCGATGGGCACAGAAAATTTTATATTTAAGAAAAAAGGTTGCACCAGTGCTGTCCCGATTTTTTAAATACAAAAGGTGGCAACCCCGCTATATGACCGTTGTTCAATGTTACGTCATAATATATTATCAACCTCTTTTCAAGTAAAAAAATCAGGCAGTTTTTGTAGAAAACTTTTGAAAAATGATACAATACACAATGTATGGGATAAAAATTAGTGTCTTTATTTTTAGAATGAAGCTGCTCAGCAGCACGTTGAGTCACATTTTCTTGCCAGTTCGCCCCAGCCTTCAGACAGGGCTGCGCTACGCGAAAGAGAAAAGCGAGAGTATGAAATGCTTCGAGCTCAATATGGAATGGATAATCAGGTATCTAGTATTATAACATCCACCTCATTTGTGTTTAAATGTCTTAAATAGTATAGTATTTCCGAAATCAAGATTGGAAATAGTGGGACTCTCAATTTGTTTGTACAGACGATAGAATGGTCGCAACTAAAGAAAAGGCCAGGAGTGTCATTGATGACGCGGCTTCATAGCGACCGCTTCTTGCGATTGGACGGTTTGGCGACCATTAGCGCGAGCTTAGATATTTTTGTTCTAACGCTATAAAATAATATTTCGAATTATTTCGGGTGGCATGCTTCTGATTTTTTTTATGTATATTCTACTGACAAAGCAAATGCCGAAATTGAGTGTCTCAACCTTCTATCTGACTCGTTGGACAGACTTTAACTTGTTTATAATGTTTTGTCTAGAGTCTAGATTAATCGATTTTGCAGGGTAATTTTCGCGAGCAGTCTGTTACCAATATGCAGCGTGCGGTTTACGCTGGTGAAATGAGCGTAGCCGACTATTACGAGCGCCAGTTGGACCTAAAAGCAGCCGAGAGTTGTGGCGTAGATGACGGCAGTTCAGTCACCAGAAGCATGGTAAGTAACTCAAAGTTACTATACAGGGCGAGTCTTAAATAAGTGCAAATATTTTCAGGGGTGGTATATTTCGACCCCAGGAATGCGTCTATGAGGTTTTTTTCGCTAAAAAAAGATGTTGAAAATCGTGCATTTTATTTTAAATTTCCCTGTATATTTTTCGAAAGCTTTTTAGAACTGCCTGTTCACCGCAAACTTTCCCCCACGGTATAGTTTCTTAATCTCTGATATTACCATAGTTACGGCTTTACTCTATAGTTACAGCAATAAAAGGGATGCAAATACAGAATAAATCCGGTGGCTCTAAAAAAAAATCATTTTTTTAAAATTTTAAACTTAAATAATTGGGTTATTTGGGACTTATCTGAAAAATGGTAAATAGAAAATATGTTTCTTTTATCGAGATCTACCGGCCCTGAAAATATTTGCACTTATTTTAGACTCACCCTGTATACATGCCTTTAATATGCTACATAAGCTGAGTTTTTTGACATTAACAAACGTTTGATTTTTTGGATGTTATTTGTCAAAGAAATCATATATCCTCTCGCATGACATACTATAAGTAAGTATATTATTTTTTAGGTTCCTAGAGTTAAAGCGACAAGCAACAACGCTTCCAACGTAGTGCGTAACTTATTGTGCACCTCTGTGGACCACTACGCTTCATCTTACGGCGACAAGGGCTGGGGGTGCGGTTATAGGAACATCCAGATGATCATCTCCAGTCTGTTGACCCACACCGGCTACAACGAGCGCCTGTACAAGCTGTGGCACAAAGAGAAACCGCCTAGGAGCGCCGTTCCGAGCATATCACGCTTGCAGAGCCTCATAGAGGAAGCATGGTCTCAGGGATTCGATATTCAGGTAAAAACATTAAATAAAAAGACTAAGAGATTTTTTTTTCTTCAGTATTAAGGGACCGTCTAACAAACGGAAACACTGCGACCTGTAAGGCTTATTTATTGTGTTTAACCTTTTCTATATCTGCATTCAGTCTCCTATCCCTGTGCCCTACACCAGCTTGTGCAGGTCCTTGATAGTAGGGGAGCATAGTTCCTCCAGTTCTAGCCTTTCTTTCTCAAATAGAAAGTGTCATTGGCGATCCAGAGTCTTACAGAGACATTTTATGTGCTCTGGCGTTTCAGAATCTTTATCCGCAACAAAAACTTCCTTGATACAGGTTGGGCTTGTTCGGGTAGCATTTGACAGTCATATGACCTGTCAAGAGACCTGTTGTAATCCGGACTTTATCACTGCTAAGCATTAGCAGTTCCTTTGTGATTTGAGAAGTAAGTCCTTGGATGAAGGCCTTGCTATGCCTGTGCCTCTGTCTGTTTCTCCAGTGGACATTCTGCTTTTCCCTGGTTCAGAGTTTCACTTTGGGTGCCGACCGCAGCGCTCTATACGGCAGAAATCAGAAATGTTTGCTAAGTATTTCACGTCGCGTCGTCCCGGTTACAGTTCATGTTGATCGTATTAAAATAATATTGTAATCATGGCTTGTATCTATTATATCTTCTAAAATTATAATTATGTACCTTCAAAACATTTAGTTATAGCCAAAATAGCCCGTTATGTCGCCTCTAGCAAAACCGGTGCGTAAAACTATGCTCGCTAACATAGTTGAACTCATCTAAAAAGTTTTAAGAGCTTCAATAATAAATTATAATACAAGTTAGACCTTCCGAAGATATCAAAATATGTACGTTTTTATTTTTTTTAGAAAATTTTCACAAATTAGATAATTATATAAACTTTTTTTCGTACTTTTAAAATAATTATATAAACTTTTTTCGTATACTTGTTATTTAAACCCGTGTATTTGTATATAATAGTTGTTTCCGATATTCTTCGATGGTGGCAGCACCGGCGGAGAATGCACCAAGCCTATAGAGTCTATTAATTTTCTCAAAGATCTCTTTGATCAAGCTCACGATCAAACTTAAATGTTATTAACAAAAACTATTGCCAAGCCGCTATAAAATATTTTATAATGGTATGACATTGGTTTTTGTTAATAACATTTGAATTTACTATTATTATGGTATTATTTTAGGGGTCTGAACAGTTGGGCTGTAGACTAGTCAACACTAGAAAATGGATCGGAGCTACCGAGGTAGTTACGCTCCTTTCGTTTCTGCGAATTCGATGCCAGCTGGTTGATTTCCACAGACCTACTGGACCGAGAGGATCCCATCCGGAGCTCTTTAAATGGGTGTGGAATTATTTCGAGAGCGCCGCCGCTGGAGAATTTACGCCTCCGTTATATCTACAACATCAAGGTAATGTTAAAACAGCAATTATGTGGCGATATCTATAACTCTATATAGATTATCGCCTATCACTGCAATGTGTTGGAGTTGAAGCCGAGTCAGAGACAACTAGATAACTGGTCCATGTATATTTCACATAAGTTCGTCTTTTAGGCAGACCCTGGTGCAATAGCGCAACTTCAAAATTCCGAATATCGATTAGCCCTTACTCTGAGGATTAGCCAGTTGTCGAACAGGAGCGCAAACGAAAGCCATACGAAGCTGTACGAAGCCGTACAAATGAACAGCTAATGCTAGTGTCTAGTCTCTTATTTGTCTCGTTGTCCGATCGATAATTCAGAATCCACGCTTGCGCACTACGCTTGAGCACGCCTAACTGAGCGACTTATGCAAATTCCTTCAGAAGATTTATATACCCATTTCACTGGCTCGGCTTTACAAAGTGCAGTTTGGAGTCGATATAGTTACTTTATAAATATATGATGGCGATATAATGTCTGTTCAGCGATCGTTCAACGTTACGTCATCATTATTTGTCAAATATGCGTGTTATGATGTGTCTGAGATCAGTTCATATTGTTTAGAAAACTTTAAGTACATTCCGAAATCATTGAATAAATTCCGTTTTTATTAATTTCGTGGAGATATGTTAGCGCACACTCTAAAGCGCATATTTGACAAATATTGATGACCTCAGGTTATAATCATCTGCTGATGATGCTAACATGGTTAGCGAAACGCGCGTCCAGTGTAAAAGTAAAAGTGTTTTGGTGTATTGTGGTGATTTAGTGTTTTTATTTTGCTGTGTAACACCAAAGGTTCCTACCCTTAACTGTAATAACGTTAACAATCGCTGAACGATATATAGGTCCTAGATCATATCTTTGAATAAAAAGATTAAGGAAGGAGCATATCAAAAATCTTAGATCGACCGCGAAGGGACTCTAAAATGGCCGACTTTAATTCCTATTTATCAGTGCCGTTCTAAATTTATTCAAAATACTGTACTATTCAAAACACAGGGTAGACTCAATAATTTGTTGTTTTATTTTACGTTGTCAAAATGTTGGTAGTTATTAAAGTTGCTATAAGAATATATAATTCTAATAAAAATAGATGAGTTATAATAATTATTTATTAACACAAACATCTGGTACGCTACTGAAGCAGGTAAGTCAAATTGACGTATCTAAATTTTTTGACATCTAAACTTTGACAAGTAGTAAATAAAAGCAAAAATGCAAAAAAAATATATAATTAGTAAACTTTAAGTGAATTTTATAAATGATCGGTTTACTACACATATGTATATTATACCGATTTGGTCATCCAAACTATGCGGTCTGGATTTTAACGTGTAAGACAGTGATGTAGACAGCTTACTGAAAAATCAAATGTATTAAAAAGAGATAAAAATTGGGTCGACACATTTTTTCTATGCGGTATTGCCGGATTGTGCATCAAAATTTCAAACCGCACAAGTAAGCTTTTCTACGAATAATGTTGCATCCATGGTTGGAACTTTATTTTTCACTATTAGTTATTTATTTTACTACAGCTGTAATAGATTATATTTAGTTTAGATATATTATCATCATTTCAGTGGTTGTAGGTATATAGTATTCTGGTACAAGTTTTTAAAATAGCTTATACTTTTCTACACACATTTTCTATAATAATAGCTCCTGTATATGGCGTTTAACGCCTTGGGAGTAGCAAGGTACAGCTTGCCATGCTAGAGCCGTTCGGTATACAAGGAAGGTAATGTGACTAGCACTACGCTTCATCCGCCTATTATTACCTCAGAATTGTGAATCCCGAATACTCATTTAAGGCTGAGTCGACCTAAGTACCCAAACAATTTTTATTTTATTAAAAATAGTCGGCTACTGAACTGCCTATAACATTTTCCACCAAAATACACACATTTTCCAACCAACGTAAAAAAACCGGCAACACTGTATTCCGCTTTTGATTTTGTCTCTCTGTCTGCTAACCGGTCATTTATATTATTCTCTGTCACACGCATTAAAATCCAGACCACATAAATTGGATGACCAGCAGGGTATATGATCGACGTCGCGTTTGATCTGTTTTTGATATGCTCCTTCATTAATCTTTTTATTCAAAGATCTAGGATATACATAGATGCACTATAAATGTAATATGTTATGTTGATTTTCTCCTACAGGTCATAGTAGGACAATAATGGGTATCGAATTGCACAGAGACAGCAGTCTTGTGCTTCTGGTGTTGGATCCTAGTCACTCCCCCCAAGAGGTAGCCCAACTGGGGGACACAAGTAATTCGACTAGCTCCCTACGTCTCTTGAGAAAGAACGAGACTACCATGAAGGCGAAGCAGTACCAAATCGTAGCGGTGGTTGGTACCATCGATAACGAGCAACAATATCAGGTAAAATTTTCACTTTTGTTTTGTAGGTAGTCATAAGTTTCCTCAGGTTGCTAATAATGAATTTAATTTTTGTGTAATATAATAAAATCATACATATCACCCTTCGCGCAAACAATGCTATTATTGTCTTTAAGTTCAACATTTTTTAACTAGAAATTCGCATAAAAGTTCTTAATATTTGAGACCATAGATTCTGATTTGTATGTAACTGTATATAACAACTGTATCTCCAAAAAATACTATATGGATATTTCGCCACTGCAAGAAGAATCTACAAAATAAAATAGTTATTTTTTGTAAACACTTCTGCTTTAATCGAAACGGAAACTACTTGTCAGAAGTTAGGTTTACAGATATACAAATTTGCCTAATGAACAAAAAAATGCTTAACGTTTCGGAAAGTTTATCACCTTTCCATCGTCGGAAGCAAAAAAATACAAAGAATAAAGAAAAAAACTATTTAAAATATTTAAATTCAACTATTCGAGATCACTTTAGTTTTTTAAAACAGATACGTCTACAAAAACCGTTGACGTTCTGTTAAAATGACATTATATCAAGTTAAACTTCAAAATTAACAATTACTACCTGATAAAAATTACTTAATAAGGTAAAACCAAAAAGCCCCAAACTTTCTGTATGATATTTTTAATTTTTTAAGAAGCGATTGCCATACAGTACTAATAACATCTAAATATGCATGAGCAATACATTTATTTTTATTAGACTGTATTAAAAAAGACCCTTTTATTTTTCTTTTAAAGGCTATCGCTTCTTTCATTATAATTTTGGCGTTATTAAAATTTATTCTGTGCCCTGTGTCCCATCAATGCTGACAAATCTTAGATTTGTGAAAATCTCCCTTTCTTAAATAATCTTTATGTTCTTTAATTCAAACATTTAAGGGTCTAGATGTTTCACCAATGTAAAATTTATCGCATTCGCATGGTATTTGGTATATTACATTTTTTGTTTGTTGTTCTGTATTCATTGGTTTAGTATGTGATAAAATGGATCTAAGTGTATTTTGTGTTTTGAAAGATGTTCGTATGTTATATTATTTTCCTATCCTTCTTATTTTTTTCCGAAACGCCTCGTATGTTCCATATATACTAACATTGTAAGTTGTATAGTTATCGTTATCATTGTGTCTATGATTTGGGCTTTGTATTTCTTTTAAAAAAAAGTATCGTCAATTGCAGGCTAGCAAACTACTTTGGGGTACAAGGATACCGCAGGAACGGTGAGGTTAGTGGCACCCTCCTCCCCTCTACGAAAATCAACATTTCCGCTCTACAGAGTGTTTCCCACGAGACTTTTATCTTTGTTCTACCACCTTTGCTGTTCAAAAAATATATCCAGATTACTGATAGCGAAGTGTGTATACCGGCGCGTTTGTATACGGTCTCTTTGAATGTTCCGGCTTCTAAAAAGTCTACTCACAGCTTATTTAAACATTTGACCGAATGATATTAGATTTAAATAAATAAATCGTTTCACTAAGCGATTGATATTACACAACGACTGTAAATGTATTAAGATTTTCACGAAATCTCAGTTTGATTTGAAGTTTGCTCTACCTCAATTTCTATCTTTCGTCAAAAACCGTATGATCGAAAAAAACGGCGTCCAGTTGGCTTGCAAATGAACATCGATGACATTATCCATATAATTTTATATGTAAAATGACAGCGATCCTCATTTCATAGCGATCGCTGACGCCGTTTTTTTCGATCATATAGTATTTTAGTTTTAAATCATCCTGAAATCTAATCTTATTCGATCATATACGATTTTATGTTTGTATCTGTCGATATTTTTATGGGCATTAGCTGCTTTCCATTAGCTACTCTTATTTGTTTGATTATGTAGATCAATTATTTATTAAAAATTTTGAGTTCTACTAGGGCCACATCTGTAAAGTATGTCCAACGAGTCGGGGAATATTTTGACAGAATAGTCTAAGAGCATAACTAATAACTCTACATAAAAAAACCTTATCATCGTTACATGGCTATTTTTTTAGGTGAGGTATCCTTTTGTGTAGCCATTACGAAATAGTCATGTCTGCCAGCGCGATCCCGGTGCTTAAAGCGGGGGCGACCAATCGAAAGGGTGAAATTTTGACACTAAAATATTATTAAGGTACACAAGTTATAATTGCGAAAATAGTTTTTATTTATTATTAAGAAACGAAGAAAATTGTTGGCAGACATTTTTCTCGTCGCTAAAATGCCGTCGGACAACGCTAAACAGCAAAGAACATAACCGTATGCAAAAGGGCTGACTAAAAGATCGTGGCTAAATCAGCGGCAGATCGCAATATTACTCTAGCGCTTTCAGGAAACGCTCGCCGCCTCATCCATTTAAGTATAGATAAATCATGTATACGATTTTATTATAAATATATTTTTTAATTATTTCCATAACAGATATCATACATTTATTATTCTGTCTCACCTGTCTCACTATTTATTTGTATTTGACTCATGGTACTGCAGATCCTCGCTCTAGCAAATGAGTCTTCCTCTGAGTCGATATCTGCACCGTAAAATTTGTATAGACTTACATGTATTATGTTTCAATCGATAACGCGGCGAACGTTTCCGGAAAACGCTTAAATGGCAAGGTCACAGGGCGAGTCTTAAATGAGTGTAAATACTTTTCGGGGTGATTTCGACCCCAGGAACAGATCTATGAGTTTTTTTCGCAAAAAAAGATGTTGAAAATCGTGCATTTTTTTTAATTTTCCTGTATATTTTAGAAAACTTTTTAGAACTGCCTGTTTACCGCAAATTTACCCACGGTATAATGGTTACGACACTAAAATACTATATATTATACTATACACTAAAATAATCTATTTTTTAAACAGCTTTTTAAATAAATAAATATGACATTCCACCAATCGGCATGCATGTATGCCATATTTTTTTCAAAATTTCATCCTTCTTTCGCGTTGTCTGCCGGTATTTTAGCGACAAGAAAAATGTCTCCCAACAATTATCCACGCTTCTTAATAATAAATAAAATCTATTTTCGCAATTATAACTCGTGTACCTTTTAATATTTTTAGTGTCAAAATTTCACTCTTTCGATTGGCCGCCCCCGCTTTAAGCCCCAGGATCGCGCTGGCTGTAGAGGTGGGAATTCTAGTTCCTTGGGAGGAACTAGTTCCTTAGTTCTAGTTCCTCCAGAGGAATAGTTCCTTGAACTAGGTCTTTAGTTCACAATAGTTCCCGTCTAACATTGACATCCCCCTTGCTTGCTAATTCGTTTCGTTGTCAGTCAGAACTATTCACAGTATGATCTATATAATTCTTATAATGTACGGAGATATAACGAGACGTGTAATTGTGTATGTTAAAAACATAGAGGAAAGTTTTATTGCAGATAAAAAAAATAAAAAAAACTCAAATCAGAATTTAAGAAACTATATCTCAAATCAATTGGAGCAAATATTACAAAAATTTTACTAAAAATGCATTTTTCCTCACTTCAGACTTTTTGTTTTTGTCTAAAAATTCAGAATATCTACTTCGTTTTATAAGATATTTCTTAATTGTAGGGACCTAAAGTGAAACATTCCCATAAAATATTTAAAAAACAAACTAAAAATCAAAAACAGTCCCACGACAATTTTCTGTGGTAATTACGCCACGCCGCGGCCGCTGTGGCAATAGACAATCCATCGTCGTCGCCTTGTATTATATCTCGGATCTGCCGACTGAATAGATTCCCGTGAACTAGTCTTTTAATAGTTCCTCTATGTCCGGATCCGATAACATACGGCTGGCACTCCTCACGCCTGCCTAGCATCAATCGCGCTGGCTGATCCATACGTAAACTATTTTATTTAGTTCCTCTAGTTCCTTTAGGTCCGGATCCGATACCATACGGCATAAGGCTGGTACTCCCCACTCCTGCCTAGCATCGACCGCGCTGGCCCGATTCGTTCGTACGTAAACTAGTCTTTTATTTAGTTTAGTTCCTCTAGGTCCGGATCCGATAACGTACGACTGGCACTCCCCACTCCTGCCTACCATCGGGCTACTAGCCGATCCGTCGCATATTATTCTATATCGGTCACAGTCTCGATCCCGGAATAGGTCCTGAGGAACTAGTTCTTTGAGAAACCAGGAACTAGTTCCTTTCGTTCCGGGGTCGCAATAGATCATTGAAACTAGTTCGTTCACGAACTACACACCTCTAGCTGGCAGACATGACTATTTCAAAATGGTTACACAAAAGGATAGTTCACAAGAAAAATTAGCCATGTAACGATGATAAGGTTTTTTATGTAGCCAGATCTTCCTCTAGAACTCTATAAATGTTCATACATAAACGCGGATTATCAAACGTATTACAGATATTACACACTTTAATATGGCAACACTGAGAATTAGAGAAATTGAGTGTTTTTTGAGTTGGCCGCAGGACGAGTGGTGGCCCCACCGAACAGCACTTGAGACGTAAGGGGAAATCAAATCAGCCTTGTCACGAATTTGCCCGTTGGGTTGCGTATCTTCCCAATTCTGCAATCAACGGTTAAGGTGTGATTTCCTAGCGACGGCTGGCGTCCAAAAAAAAGTGCGGCGCGAAATTACTTCGTGAGATTTAATTAAATAATCATAAATAACCCCAAAAATGTTTTTAAAAAAATCGTGGTGATATTATTCAAGCATATTTTATAAATCCAACAGATACTGATTTTTCACGATTCTAGATCAGTTATATCTTGTTATTTAAAATGGAAAGCAGGTTATGTTTTATATTTAATCATAAAAAAAGTTTATACATTCCTAGTCTTTCTCTAATAAAAGAAAATAGATAGATCTATTTACATTACGAATACAGTTGTTTCAATAGCGCATTTACATTTTTATGCCTGGTAGTGTTTCTGTTTTCATTATTAAGATTTATTAAAATCAATTTTCTAAACTTAAGGTTAAATAATATATTGTCCTATTATATTTTCATTCGCATAGTACAAATTTCTAACGAATAAGGAATCTATAATGAATGCAAGGATTTCAAGTATACTCGATGTTTTTATTGTATTTTTTTGTAGGATTGTATGAAGGTAGTAGGTATATTTTGTTTGTAAAACGGTTTTATAAACAAGGTTATCTTAAACAAACAGTTGTTATGTAATTTTATGTAGGAATTGAAAGTATTATTGATATTGTTTTTTGATCAAATTTTTTGTTGGTAAAGAATTGTAAGAAAAACGAAAGGTATCTTTAAAGGAATATTAATAATTTCCATATAACAAATACATTTTTATACTATTTTACTAGTGCACCTGGTTAATGCAGGGATTTTTTTGTTTATTTACCCAATAAATATAACTCTTCTGCTGAAACTTCCTTGTTTCAACATTTCACATAGTAACGCTTTAGTTCACATTGAAAATACCTAGACAGTGTATATAACTGTGTGTACAGGGTGTCCCATTTTAGTGAGTTTTACAGGGTTTCTCGTTTATGAGTAAAGGTAGAAATATATACTTAAGTCATTAAAGTGATATAAATCAAAAAGAGACTTAAGTTTTCTGGGAGCTTGCAGCTCTGCTTTATTTAGTTAAGTTATATCTCTATAAAAGTTTTTGATATTTTGTACAGGTCGTAAGTTATTTGCATTAAACTGAAATTTTTTAATAACATTTAAAATTAAATTTACGAATATTCAACCGGAACGCAGAGCTTATCTCAAAAATATATTGTATTCATTGTTTAGGTATTTTTCCTTTGTATCGCAGCGTTACCAGACAGGTCAAATGTGGACACAAGGAAAAGTTATGTGAGAAACACTATATATTTCTTAATACCATCTCAAAAACAAGGGCAAGTTAGGAGTGAGCCACTTTTGAGACTCCCCGGTATATATTTATTTTTTCAAAATATCAAGGCATTTATTAGTATTATAATTTATTATTATTTTTAAATTTTTGTTAATTTATATCTTTAGTGGCACACAATACTCAAGTTTGTAGCACCTAAGTTCTATATTATTGACAAAAAACTCGTTTTTCTGTTTCATAAGATGTTGTTTTATCGTTATTGATTTTGTTGTACAATTTATTAGTTATTTTCAGGTTAATTTTAACTTTTATGTTTAGTGGCATTTTAGTTATTTTATGATAAAAGAGTTATTTTTAATTGATGTAGAAACTGATCTGTGTTTTTATGGTTATATATTTGTTTATAAATTATTACTAGCGTTTTTCATTAGTATTATACAATATGATCGAAAATAAAACAGCGTCAGCGATGGCTATGAAATGAAGATCGCTGTCATCTTATATGTAAAATTATATGTGGAACGTCATCGATCGTCATTTCCAAGCCAACTGGATGCCATTTTTCTCGATCATACGGTACAATATGATCGAAAAAAAAAACGGCGTCGGCGATGGCTACGATCGCCGTCATTTTATATGTAAAATTATATGGGGAATGTCATCGATCGTCATTTCCAAGCAAACTGGACGCCGTTTTTTTTTTCGATCATACGGTACAATGTTTTTATATGAGTGTAACATTATTTATGAGTGTAACATTAAAAAAATATTCTCCACGTGAATATGATTTTGGCTAAAAAATACTAATTAAAAAATAACAGAATTAAGAAATATGAAATAATTTTGAAATTAAAAAATTAATAAGAAAAATTTGATCGGCTTTATTTTATTTTATCTCTGATAACTTTTTCTCTTTTCGATATTTGACATGACTCGTATCTCAATTTAAATATAACTTGTTTAATTAATTGTAATTATATTTTCTTTTAGTTTAAATTCATTCTGGTTCTGCTTTATTTACAAAAATGATTGCTTTGACGCATTGCGCCATATTTGGGAAAGTTATGCGAGAAAAACTATACCTAATGGCGTGTTTAGCGATAAGAAAGTGGTTTGATATAGTATTTTTGTAACTTTCACTAACCTATCAAAAATCTTGTATGGCTTAAGAAAATGGAATTCAGATTTATACCTATGGCACTTTTTCTATGTTGTTTATTGATGTTCTATTTAAAAATTTCAAAATACACTATAATTTAGTTCCTATACTAGTCATATAGCACTGTTATTTATATAGATAAGGA